AATTATTTACCCTAAAACTAATCAGGTATTTGCATAGTCTTAGAGATACATGTAGCAAGTCTCATTGAAATATGATGATCAGTACTAGAGTTATCAGGCGAAAAGCTGAAAAATAACTAATTATGCTAATAAGGTGATTAATATGAACAAATATTTACCCCAAAACTAATCAGGTCCCTGCACATTCCTTAAGTAACTATGTACCAAGTTTCATTGAAATGTGATTATTCCTACTTGAAATATCAAAAGCTGAAAATTAATTATGCAAATTAGGTAATTAATATGATATTACACTAAAAACTATCAGGTCTGTGCAGTGTATATTTATGTACCAAGTTTTATTGAAATGTGACTAGTGCTTGAGATATCAGTAGAAAAGCCAAAAATTGATTATGCAAATTAGGTAATTAATATTTTTACCCAAAACTAATCAAACCTGCGAATTGGCCCAGACAAGCTATATACCAAGTTTCATTGAAATCCGAACAGTGGTTCTTGAGATATCGATGGAACAGACACACAGACAGACAGACAGCAAAGATTCCCTTTTGTGCTTCGCACACAGGAGTCAAAAAATTTAGAAAATTAGAGAAGATGACTTGTGTACTTTTTGTGGGAGCATTCTGAGACAATTCCACACTTGTTCTGTTGGTGTAGCGAGCCAAAACGCTTTTGGAAAAGATTTTTAAAATTAGTGGTTCAAAACACTGGTATCAACACTACAATTCAGCCACGAGTCATCGTTTTTGGAGACTTGAATGTAAGTGCCATTTTTAATTTTGCAATGGTGATCAGAAATTAAATCATGTTTAATTGCCTTTTGTTTTTTTCAACAGAGCAATACATATGTAAAAATAAAACAAACAGCGCCACCAAGTGGTACATGTATCGACTATTTCTGCCACCTTTTTTCTAAGTGAATGAACCACAGCTCTACCAATCTTTGCAACCAAAAATCACATTGGATTCAATTCTACAGTTACTGCACCATCACATTTTTTTCAGTATATAAACCCTTATCCAACATCTCATTTGAGAGCACCTTACCAGATCTAATTCTGCATTCCATTAAACACAGTCCCTCCACACATTAAGTGTTGGGGGACTGTGCATTAAACAACCAATTTGTGTTCAGTTATTAGAGGGCACTCTTCTACCCAGTTCTACAAGAGGTCAAATTAGT